CCATCTACAGCCCACGTCCAGGGACAAGCGGACCATTTACAAGGACCATCTACAGCCCACGTTCGGGGACAATCAAACCAACTACAGCCCACGTTCAGTGACAATCGAACCACCATCTTTCACGGTGCAAGGTTCTCGATACACAAAGACTTGCAATCTCATCATCTGTCGACTTTCCTCAAGCATGGAAAGTATTATCCGGTGGATTTCTTCAAGCATAGAAAACCGCCAAATTCATATGTCGGCTTTCCTCAAGCATGGAAAGTATCATCCAGTAGATTTCTTCAGGCTTATAAAGTTACCAAATCCCTCATTTGGCTTTCCTCAGGCATGGAAAGCGTTTCAACGAACGTTATCCGGTGGATTCCTTCAAGCATAGGAAGCTGCCAAACTCATTTTTCACTGATCCACTGGTGCTAGATACATATTCTATCCTTTTACTCTTTTATCTGTGGAATTAACATTTTTCTGCAGGTATCGGCATATATAAAGTGATTTAGGATCGCAGAACGTCTTAAATAATTCTCCGTCCCTATCGAGTACTTTAACTATCGTTTTGGAAACTGACGTTTCTACAAACTCAGTCAAAGTGTGGGCTTCTGTAGACACCTAAAAATGTCTCCCCAAAACCAAACCCGATGTTGAACAACCTTTCATCGCCATTATTGGCCGGGTTCAGTATTTAATCTCGAGAGTGCTTAAAAAATCGTATTTGATTAAGTTCAATTTTTGAATAGTCCATGGATTAGTCTTGATGTTTGGTCAAAGCATAGTTTTAATTTCAGCCCAAATTTATTATTTAATTTTAGCCCAAACCTTTTTTTATTTTACTGTTTTATTATTTATTTTGGCCCAAACTTTTTATTCATTTTATTTTAGCCCAAATAATAAAATCATCAGAAAATGGCCCGAAATTTTCAATCGACACTTACAATGCTGAATGAAATTAGGGTTAAAAATGAATTTAGACGGAAAAGCGGACTGAAAAATTCCCGCGTCACGGCAACAGTCCACCAAGTCATGGGAAACCTTCCCGTCTAACGGTGGGGTTCCCCGTGACACGGGAAACCTGTTGTGATATGAGAATTTCCGTGTCCTTTCCGTGTAAACCCTTAACGCGTTTTCTCCCCCGTTCACTTAATATATTTCCCGCGTCACACAATATGTGCACCGTGTCACGGGAATGTTTCGCATTTGACGGCGGGATTTCCATTGTCACGGTACACTTTGTCGTGTCGGGAGATACTTTTTTTAGGAATTTTATCATTTTAGGGTTCCGTGTGTTCCCTCAGCACATTTTTTCTATAAATTCCCCCTCAATTCTGATGTATGGGGCATCAATTAATTCTCTAGTTTTTTCTCTCTTCTATGCTCTAGCCTAAACACTAGCCTACCCTTATTCTTTCAAAATTCCTTCTTCAAGCACTCCCAGGAGTCCATACTTTACTCGTGGTTCTATCCTTAAGCCAAGGCGTGAAAGGTAAAACTGTTTGAGGGTTTGGCCCCAAATCAATTCTATTTAATTTAATTTAATTATTGTTTTATTATTATTTCCTTGAAGTTACTAACTCGTTTATTATTTTGTAGTTGCAAAAAAATAGAATCAAAGTAAGAATTATGTTCCTTTTATTTCTATTATTTTTCTAACGATTTTGTATTGTTAGAATTATTGTTAAATTGCTTCCAATATAAATGTTTATTCTATTGTTATGATCACCATATTGCATATTAAAGGGAATATGTAATTGAAAATCACGCCTAATAAGATAATTTGGACAACCGATTTAGGTTCCTTTTTAATCTTGTTATTAAATCAAGTGATCACTAATTTTTTAGAATTATATGTTGCATTAATATTCAACCAATTTAGCTTAATAATAGTTTGGAGCTAATTGTATTTTTTTTGCATGCCTTTGAGATCGTAGGAATCACTTTTCACTATAAGAATCGAGTAGAGGCCAATATAGGCGAATGTGACTCCATGACTCACTTCGTACCATCATCCCCGATCCTCCTTTCGTGGTTCCGAACCATATGGAGTTAGTAATCTCATGGATTATGAATGGGGTGTAACTTTCACGGGTCAATCGTAGTTGCCTATCGTTGTCCCTTAATCTTGGTTGCCTTAAATGACCCGTGAACGGTTTACAAGTTCCTTAAAAACTTGTTGGCGGCTCCCTACTTTCCTTGTCCCTAATCGTATTATGTCAATTCCCACTTCCTATGAGTGCCAAGCATATTCACACATGCTTTAACGTAGGCGCACATCGATCGACGTCTACAGGGGGAAATCGCTAGCTAGAGGGCTAGTAATGTTTTTTAATAAAAAAAATTACTTTATCAATGTCTCTCGAAGACGTCAACAATACTATGGAAACGTCTATCGGAGAAGTCATCCCCATGCGGAGAAATCTCCAACAGAAATATACACTACAAGATATGGAAGTCTCTTACACATGTACATTCCATGGTTTGGACGTTTGCAATAGGAAACGTCCATACCGTGGTATGAACTTGTAGGAGATGTGCATATCGTGGTGTAGATATCTTTGACAAGCGTCTATAAATTTTTTTGGTGATTTTTTCCTATTATTTCCAGCAGCTACTCAATTAACCTCCAAAGCTTCGTCTTCCCCGCCAATGCCTTCGAGATAAGTGCACTTGGAATCCAAGATCAAGCAACCCACTTAGAAGCTCCATGGATCAAGAACCGGTTTCCCTTGTTTTAGAAACTCTTGGATTTAGTCCATTTGCTTTCAAGCCCGAATTTGTTACTTTGATCACATGGGAGATCACTTGAAGCCCACAAAGGAGTTTTATCTATGTGTGCATGGCCCATTTACTACTTTGGGCTATATATTTAAGTTTGATTTATCTATTACTTAAGTTGTAATAAGGCTTAGAGGAGTTACTTACATCGTCCCTTATTTAGCCGTAAGTTTATGTGTGCTTAGGGTTAATTGTTACTCTTAATTTTTGATTTTTAACTACCCATTTAAATAGGTGTTACAAAGGAGTGAATTACAAGAGTTCTAATTACTTTTCGTAACCGTTGAATTAATGTGACAGTTTTAGGAAGATGTTAAGTTGTAACCTTTTCCTTGCTGCCCATATTTCCTATAAATAGGGAGCTAATAAGAAGAGAATGACATCTTTTGATCATTGATAAAAACCGAGTGTTTTAGCATTTTGCTTTGAGTTTGTCTTGAGTTAAAGTGTTTCCTTATAGCTTTGAGTTTGTTCATGAGTTATAAGATTAGGGTGAACTTTATGTGTGTTTTGAGTTCTTGCCTAAGATCCCAAAACTTTGAGTGTGTTCTTGAGTATTGGTTATCTATCTCGTTTTGTGAGTTTTGTAGTGTAATTCGAGAGTAACCCATTTTAAAAAGTTTGAATCCATCAACCTATATTTGGGTGGGTGTATTTGGACTTACTTCATCTGGTATCAGAGCTTTGACATCAGTTTATTGAAGAAAATCGAGTTTTGGTGGGTTTAGAAAACTGCTGGAATTCGATCAGTTTTTCAGTCAACTTTGTGGAATGATATCTCGGTCGTCTAGAAGCCAAATTGAGTAATTAGTATTTTGAAGTAGGATAATTTTCTGTGTAGAATACTCATATAAAATTTCATAATTTTTAGAATTTGTTTGCTATTAAACTGGGCAGATTTTTAAACACAACGCAGAAAGGAAGCCTTTTCAGCACATCAGATTTCAATTAAGGATTTCTTCTTTATCTGGAAAGCTTTTGAGGAAGTTTCATTTTTTCAAATTGATTCTTTTAATCTGAATTTTCTGAATTTTCAAGCCTTTGATAGTCTGAAGGCATTTTCGTATTTGTTTTTGCTTTCTATTTTCAACAGTATTTCATCATTTATAATTGTAATAGTCTAGCAAAATAGTGAACAAAAAAAATGACTGGTGGAGAGGAGCTTGCTAGAATGTTACAAGCAGTAACTGAAAAATTGGATAAGTTAGAGAAAAAAACAGAAGAAAGCGAGGAAGAAAAGGCTAGGCAAAACACAAGGATGGATACTATGTCTGACATGCTTTTACAAATCAATAGAAAACTGAATGAGTTGGAAAATGAGGATGTGGGCAGTAACAATCTTAGGCAATTTGATGAAGACAGGGGACTTAAGATTGACTTACCTGAATTTGATGGGGGGCATGATAGCGATGCCTTTCTTGATTGGGTTAGGCAAATTGAAACCGCATTTGAGTATAAGGGGTTTGATGACAACAAAGATTCAAATTGGTTGTCTTTAAACTCACTAAACTTGCTGCCCTATGGTATAAAAACCTCAAGGCAAATAAAAGGAGAGAGGGAAAAGAAAAAATTGACTCATGGGAGAAGTTGAAAAAGAAAATGAGGGATAAATGGGTAAATAGGGAGTATGAACAAGAACAATACCTAAAATTGACCCATCTTTCCCAAGAAGACATGAGCGTAGAAGATTACATTAAGGAGTTTGAGAAGTTGTGTTTAGTTTGTGACTTGCAAGAGAAGGAGACCTTCAAAATCGATCGTTTTGTAAAAGGTCTTTTGAAGAGTATTTGTCAAAAGGTGGAAGTGACTCACTATACCACCTTTAGTGATGTTTGCAAATTGGCTTTTTGTTACGAAACTCAATTAAAAAAAGAGAGGCCCAAAACCTCTTCTTTCAAAAGCCCTATGAAATTTACTCCTACTTACTCAAAGGGGAGTACGTTTCAAAATAAAACAGGTGGTTCCTTTCAAAATAAGCCTTCCTCTTCTAGTTCTAAGTTTGATAAGGGGAAAGAAAAGGTCGTAATCACACCTAGTGAACTTGCTACTAGGAGAAAGTGTTTCAAATGTCATGGTAGAGGACATATAGCTTCCGAGTGTCCAAGCAAGAATGTGTTGACTTCCTCATAATGTGCAATATTTGACAAAGAAAAATTCTATAATTTTGTTGCACAAGAGGAAAATGAAGAGTTTGATGAAAGTATGATGAGGATATACCTTCGGAGAATGAAATGAATATGATGGTGGTTCAAAAGATTTTGTTTAGAGGGCCTGAAATCGATGAAAGGCAACGAAACAACTTGTTCCATACTAGATGCAAGATAGGTGAGAAGACTTGTAATGTAATTGTTGATGGAGGTGAACAAACCGATGTAATCTCTTTTGAAGCCGTAAGTAAGTTGAAGCTTACTACTAGAGATCATGATGAGCCTTACAAGTTGAATTGGTTGAATGATGGCACAAGAGTTAGACTGAAGAAGCAAGCTTTGGTGACATATTCCATCGGCGGCTTTGAAGACGAGAGGAGGTGTGACATACTGCCAATGGATGCGTGTCATTTATTGCTTAGAAGACCGTGGCAATTTGATCATAATTCAAAGCATAAAGGTAGATCTAATGTGTATATTGTAACTACTAGAGATGGTAGAAAAGTTAGATTATTGCCTTTACCTCCTAAAGTTGCTAAGAAAGAAAAGGAAAAAAGCAACTATCTTGTAACTTGTAACGAATTTGAGAAAATAGTGGAAAAGAATGGGGGAGGGTATGCTTTGGTTGTGAGGACCAAAGATGATCTTGGTACTACTTGTAATAAATCCGCACTAAATGAGTTGTTAGAAGAGTACAAAGATGTGTTTCCTGATGACTTGCCCAATGGCCTCCCACGCACCTATAAAGGGCATTGAGCACGCCATTGACTTGATTCCTGGAGCACTTTTACCCAACAAGGATGCCTATAGGTGTAATCCGGAGGAGAGTAAGGAACTTAAGAGGCGAGTGAATGAATTAATTTAGAGAGGCTATGTGAGGGAGACCCTCAGTCCTTGCGTCGTCCCGGCACTCTTAGTACCAAGGAAAGATGGTACTTGGAGATTGTGTGTTGATAGTCATTCCGTTAACAACATAACGGTCGAATACCGTTTCCCTATGCTTTGTTTTCAAGATATGCTAGATGAGTTGAGCGGTGCCTTAGTCTTTTCCAAAATTGACTTAAGGAGTGGCTACCATTAAATGAGAATTCGATAGGGGTATGAATGGAAAATGGCCTATAAAACAAAGCAAGGGTTGTGTGAGTGGTTGGTGATGCCATTTGGGCTTTGCAACGCCCCAAGCTCCTTCATGAGATTGATGAACGAAGTCTTCCGTCCTTTTCTTAATGATTTTATTGTTGTTTACTTAGATGATATCCTTGTATATAGCAAAAACAATGAAGATCATGTAGTTCATTTGAGGAGGTTGTTTGAAAAATTGAGGGAGGTGAAGTTGTATGGTAAGCTTGAGAAATTTGTATTCATGACTCCTAGTAACGTATTCTTAGGGTACATTGTAACTGGAGAGGGGGTACATGTAGATCCGTAAAAGGTGCACGCGGTTTAATCTTGGTTGACTCCAACCAATGTTCACGAAGTTAGGAGTTTTCATGGCCTAGCGTCATTCTATATGCGGTTCATAAAAAACTTCTTAACCGTCATGGCTCCTATTACAGAATTGACAAAGAAAGGTGATTTTGATTAGAATGAAGCGGCACAAAAGGCCTTTGAGAAGGTCAAATATCTTCTTTGCAATGCTCTATACTTGTGCTACCAGATTTCAACAAAGTGTTTGAGGTGGAGTGTGATGCAAGTGGGATTGGGATAGATGATGTTTTAATTCAAGAGATGAATCTTGTGAGTTACTTTAGTGAGAAGTTGAATGGGGCAAAGTTAAACTATTCAACTTATGACCGTGAGTTTTATGCCATAGTTAGAGCACTTGATCATTGGTCTCACTACCTTAGACCAAAGTCATTCGTTCTTCATTCCGATCACGAGGCTCTAAAGTTCATACATGGGCAACAAATGCTCAACAAATGACATGCTAAATGGGTGGAGTTTCTCCAATCATTTACTTTTAGTTCCAAATACAAAGATGGCAAGAGTAATGTGGTGGCTGATGCATTGTCTCGTCGAAACTACTTGCTTCCCATGGTGGATGCTAAGATTTTGGGTTTTGAACAACTAAAGGACTATTACAAGGATGATCCCGACTTTTCTAGCGAGATAGAGAGTCCTACCAAGGATTTTGTGTGGCAAAATGGTTATCTCTTTAAAGGTAACAAGATGTGTGTTCCGAAGAATGGAGTATGGGAATTGTTGGTTCGGAAGTCCATAGCGGGGGTTTGGCCGGACATTTTGGGATTCAAAAGACTCTTGATATTCTAGGCGAACACTTCTACTGGCCTAAAATTATCAAAGATGTGACTCATGTGGTTGAGAGATGTGCTACTTATCAAAAGGCTAAGGGACCCTTCACTAAAGGTCTCTACACTCCATTGACGGTCCCAGAGTCTCCATGGGAAAGTGTTAGTATGGATTTCATTGTGGAGTTGGCACGAACGCAAAGGGGAATGGATAGCATCATGGTAGTAGTAGATAGATTCTCTAAGATGGAAAATTTTGTAGCTTGTAATAAAACTGATGATGCAGTGTAAGTGGTCGGGCTGTACTTCAAGGAAATTGTCAAACTCTATGGCATTCCTCTAAGTACTGTATCTGATAGGGACTCTAAATTCCTTAGTCACTTTTGGAGGACCCTATGAAAGCTTGTGGGTACCAAGTTGCTATTTACTACCTCTCATCATCCCCAAATTAATGGGAAAACGGAGGTTACTAATAGAACTTTGGGTACTTTGTTGCGTGGTCTTGTAATCAAAACGCAGAAAGATTGGGACATTAAACTAGCCCATGCGGAGTTTTCTTACAATAAGGCTCATTCATTACACTACTTCACGTTCTCCTTTTGAAGTAGTCTATAGCATGAATCCTTTTGCTCCTATTGATCTCATTCCTTTTCCTAAGGGGAAAATAACGGAAATAGATGCTAAGCAAAGAGTGGAAACTTTCCAAAAAAAACTTGTGAGCAAGTGAAGAAAAGAATTGAGGAGATGAAAAGAAATACCAAGAGCGAGCCAATAAAAACCGCAAACAACCTATTTTTCAACCAAGGGACTTGGTGTGGTTACATTTAAGGAAAGAAAGATTTCCTAAGTTACGCAAAAACAAGCTCATGCCTCGTTCTAATGGTCCTTACAAAATTATTGAGAGGATCAAAGATAGTGCTTACAAAATTGAGCTTCCTGATAAGCTGATGGGTGTGAGTGCTACTTTCAATGTTGGGGACCTATCTCCTTACTTGGATGATATATGTTTGAGGTCAAACTTTTCTCTAGAAGAGGAGAATGGTCCAAGATCAAGCAACCCACTTAGAAGCTCCATGGATCAAGAACCGATTTCCCTTGTTTTAGAAACTCTTGGATTTAGTCCATTTGCTCTCAAGCCCGAATTTGTCACTTTGCTCACTTGGAGATCACTTGAAGCCCACAAAGGAGTGTTATCTATGTGTGCATGGCCCATTTACTACTTTGGGCTATATATTTAAGTTTAATTTAACTTTCATTTAAGTTTTAATAAGGCTTAGAGGAGTTACTAACATCCTTCCTTATGTAGTCGTAAGTTTATGTGTGCTTAGGGGTAATTGTTACTCTTAATTGCTAATTTGTAAATACCCATTTAAATAGGTGTTATAAAGGAGTAAATTAAGAGAGTTCTAATTACTTTTCGTAACCGTTGAATTAATGTGACGGTTTTAGGAAGATGTTAAGTTGTAAACTTTTCCTTGCTGCCCATATTTCCTATAAATAGGGAGAAAATAAGAAGAGAATGACAACTTTTGATCATTGATAAAAACCGAGTGTTTTAGCATTTTTCTTTGAGTTTGTCTCGAGTTAAAGTGTTTCCTTATAGCTTTGAGTTTGTTCCTGAGTTATAAGATTAGGGTGAACTTTAAGTGTGTCTTGAGTTCTTGCCTAAGATCCCAAAACTTTGAGTGTGTTCTTGAGTTTTGGTTATCGATCCCGTTTCGTGAGTTTTCTAGTGTAATTCGAGAGTTACCCGTTTTAAAAAGTTTGAATACATCAACCTATATTCGGGTAGGTGTATTTAGACTTACATCAACTTCTTTGTTACATTAATCAGAATAAAAAAATTGAGGGTGGTGGGGCACGATTAAGGCGATGATGATGGTGGCGGCGGCAGTCGTGGTATTACTCATGGTGGCGGTCTAGGTGATGGTGTGAGGTGGTCTGAATTTATGGGTTGAAGGTGATTATGGATGAAGAAGTAATAACAAATTAAAATAAGGGTAAGATGGTTATTAATATTGTCATCATGAGTTATATTTTGTCGTCAAATACTAATTCAACTTTAGAAATACAGACTCCGAGGCAATATTTGGAGATAGAGAGAGATAAAGAGAAAGAAAAAGTACTCGTATGATAGGACTCAGTAGAGAGATAGAAAGAGTTTATTTAATTAAAAAGGTAAGTGATGCATCCAAATTATTGAAACATGTCTTTTTTAGAAAGTGATGCACCTAAAGAAAAACATTGAAAGTATTTTTTTGTCATATAATATATAGAAAATTAAGAGAAGAATGTAAGAGTAATATTAAAGATGTAGATTATTACTATTAGTGAGCTTTTACTCTTATGTACTTTGTGTGTACATACATCATGCAAGTGATGAATTACATGACTATTTATAGTAATGTAATTTAGTATTACATTGTCGGATACTAAGTTAAGGGGTGACAAGAAGGATGGCAAATTACAATGAAGAAAACTAAGGTGTGGCCATTGACATTATTGTATTGCGTAATTTAATTAACTTGGCTCTTAACACTCCCCATTGAATGTCCATATAATAATAAGGGAATAGTGACCTCATTAAAACCTTGCTAGGTAAAACCCTTTGGGGTAAAACCATAACTAAGGAAAAGTGTAAAACAATATTTTTATTAGGATATTTTGAATTTTAACACCACAAAATAACTAAAAAAATGGTTTTTAACACTAAAAAAAATAGCTTTTATTTTAACAACACAAAAAAAAAAAAAAAAAAAACCAAAAAATGGCTTTTACCACCACTTAACCGATTTATGGATGAAATTTGTTAGTGGGGCCTACAACGCCATGTGTCAGCATATAATTGGTAAAAAATATTAAAAAAAAAATCAAAAACCCTAAATCTACCCCAGCCACCCAACCCCCACCATCAGCCCCACTGCCGGCAGCCCACCGCCACCATCCTCTCACCTTAACAACCCCTTTCCCAGCCCAAACAGCCGAAAAATTCGTTCCCTCCCTTTCCCCGTCCCCAAAATCGATAACCCTCCCCAACGACCACCAAAACCAAGCCACCCACTACAAAAAACGCGTTGTTAGCGACCGATATATTATCAGTTGGTAAAAAGGCAAATTAGCGACTGATTTATAAAATAGTCGGTAATTACCGACTAGTACAAAAATCAGTCGCTAATTCCTGACTGTTTGAAAAATCGCTCACTAATTATTGACCATTTTCAAAATCAGTCGCTAATTTACTGACTGCATTAAAAATTAGTCTCTATTTAGAGATCGTTTATTGGTTGCTAATTTGTATTTCTTTTTCCCAAATTTGTGATATATAAGACAAAGAAACCCTAAACCCCTTATTTTCTTATTCTTGCTCCAACCGACCTCCTCCTCCAATTACTTTCTCTCTCTTTACATTCCCTTCTTTCTCATCCCCCACTTTCTCTCTCTTAACATCCCCTCTTTCTCTCTCTTCCCCTTTTTTTGCTCTTCTCTTTCGATCTCCACCATTAATGAAAGGGTTTTGAGCTTTCTCAACACTTCATTGAAGCGACAATATCTATAAATCAAGGGTAAGGTAAATGTTCTCATTATTGTTGTTTTTATAGACACCTAAAAATGTCTCCCCAAAACCAAACCCGATGATGAACAACCTTTCACCGCCACTATTGGTCAGGTTCAGTATTTAATCCCGAAAGTGCTTAAAAAATCGTATTTAATTAAATTTAATTTTTTAATAGTCCATGGATCAGTCTTGATGTTTGGTCAAAGCATAGTTTTTAATTTCAGCCCAAACCATTTTTTTATTTTATTGTTTTATTATTTATTTTGGCCCAAACCTTTTATTTATTTTATTTACTTATTTTCTTTTTTTGGCCTAAATAATAATAAATCAAAAATGGCCCGGAATTATCAATCGGGACTTAAAATGCAGAACAAAATTAGGGTTAAAAATGAATTTAGACGGAAAAACGGACTAAAAACTCTCGCGTCACGGCAATAGTCCACCGTGTCACGGGAAACTGTCCCGTCTGACGGTGGGATTCCCCGTGACACGGGGCACCTGCTGTGACACGGGGGTTTCAATGTCCTTTCCGTGTAAACCCTTAACGCGTTTTATCCCCCGTTCACTAAATATTTCCCGCGTCACACAGTTGTGCACCGTGTCACGGGAATGTTTCCCGTCTGAAGGTGGGATTTCCCCTGTCACGGTACATTTTGCCGTGTCGCGGTATACTTTTTTTAGGGTTTTTATCTTTTTAGGGTTCCGTGTGTTCCCTCAGCACATTTTTTCTATAAATACCCCCTCATTTTTGATGTACGGGGCATCAATTAATTCTCTATTTTCTCTTCTCTATGCTCTAGCCTGAACACTAGCCTACCCTCCTTCTTTCAAAATTCCTTCTTCAAGCACTCCAAGGAGTCCGTACTTTACTCGTGGTTCTGTCCTTAAGCCAAGGCATGAAATGTAGAACTGTTTGAGGGTTTGGCCCCAAATCAACTCTACTTAATTTAATTTAATTTAATTATTGTTTTATTATTATAACCTTGAAGTTAATAACTCGTTTATTATTTTATAATTGCAAGCAAACAAAATCAAAGTAAGAATTATGTTCCTTTTATTTCTATTATTTTTCTAACGATTTTATATTGTTGGAATTATTGTTAAATTGCTTCCAATATTAATGCTTATTTTATTGATCACCATTTTGCATGTTTAAAGGGAATATGTAATTGAAAATCACACCTAATAAGATAATTTGGACAACCGGTTTAGGTTCCTTTTTAATCTTGTTATTTAATTCAACTGATCACTAATTTTTTTAGAATTATGTGTTGCATTAATATTTAACCAATTTAGCTTAATAATAGTTTGGAGCGAATTGAATCTCTGTTTGTATGCCTTTGAGATCACAGGAATCAATTTTCACTATAAGAATCGAGTAGAGGCCAATACGGGCGAATGTGACTCCATGACTCACTTCGTAACATCATCCCTGATCCTCCTTTCACTAGAGGAAAATATCAAAAAGGCACCCCCTAATTGGCACCGGTTCAGTCCAAACCGGTGCCAAAAATGGCCTACAAAATTGGTGGGAAGCTGAACCAGAATAAAAAGCACCGCTTCACTTTAAACCGGTGCCAAAACATAAAGGCCACCGGTTTGAACCGGTGCCTTTGTGAACCGGACCATTTAATTATTAAAAAAAAACCGCCCTTACTCTCTCCCTTTGATTAAAACCCCAAAACCTTGCTCCTTCTCTCTCCTCTCAGTCCGCCTCCTTCACTCTCTCCTCTCCCTTCTTGATCCTCTGCTCTCCCTTCTCTCTCCTCTAGCTCTCCTTGATCTCTCCTTCCCAATCACTTCTCTTTCTCTACAACAACAACAACACCACCGCAACAACACCACCACCGCAACAACAACAACAACACCACCGCAACAACAACACCACCGCGCCACCACCGTCGATGTTCTCATTCGATTTCCTCATTTTTTCCAGCCAATTTTACCACCATCGCAACATCATCACCACCACCAGCGATTTCCTCAATTTTATCACCGTCGCAACATCATCACCACCACTTTCTTTCCCCCTCGTGATGAAATTAAAGGTTTAGGTCAAATTCGACCATGAAAACTCTAGATCTGGAGTTTTCGTGGTCGAATTTGACCTTTATAACCTAAATTTAAGCTAATTTCGGGGGTTTTTAGTGTAATTCGAGGTAAATTATTTTTTTTTCTCACTTTTTTTTTCGAGATTTTTGGTGGAATTCGAAGGTTTGAAGGTGTGTTTCTGGGTTAGCTCGAGTGCATACAAGGAGTTTGATGGAGCGAATTGTGGAATTGAGATTACATTTTTTTTTTGAGAATTTTTTTTTTTTGAATAGCCGAACATAATTTTTTTGGGTTCCATATTACCAGATTTTTTGCTATTGTTTTTTGGTTTAATTTGGTTGCAATTTTTTATTTTTTTATTTTTATTGTCCTATAATGTTTAAATATTTCAAATTGTAGTTTATTTAGGATTTTTATTAATTTTGGTGTCCAAATTTGATGTAGGTTTTACACTCCACACAGAAAAAGGATTCAAATATCAAGATGATGTAGATTTTGGTGTTTTAATTCGATGTTGTAATGTAATTTTTTTTTTCTGAAATTGTAATATAATGTTGTAATGTAATGTAATATCAATTTTTTTTCTTTAA